CACCCCCGTAATGAACCATACTCTCCGAGTATGGGATCACATCAAACATCAGGGAAAGCTAATCTCCCCCCATCTCCCATTAATGCCCATAATAGGCAACCCACTCTTTATGCCAGGAATGCAGTCGCCGGGGGCTTTTGCTTGGTGGAAGTCCCAAAACATAATATACCTGCACAACCTATTGCAAGATGGGCGAGTGCGTACCTGGGATTCGATAAGGGCAGACTCACATGCTCCCCCCTCAGAATTCTTCCGATACCTGCAAATCAGACATTGGGCGGGGTCTGTTCTCGCTAGCGGGGTGCCCACCACTCGCCTCTCCTTAATGGAACATATATGCTACCATACACCTTTGCAACCCAAGTTGATATCCATCTTATACTCCCAACTGAACTTAGCCCAGAGCAACTTAGTGCATAACTATGTCAGTGCTTGGGATAAGGATCTTCACGGGGTAGTTACTGAGGCAGAGTGGAAGCAGGTTTGGGCCTCGGCGGCGTCATGCACCATCAACATCACCTCACTAGAGACTGTATATAAGTCTATGATGCGATGGTACATGTGCCAGCCCGACTAGCATCCTCAACAATCAGCCAAATGTTTTAGAGGTTGCGATGCGAAGGATGATGTAATGCACATCTGGTGGACGTGTTCACCGTTTCTGGATCAAATCTTTCCGGTTACTGAACTCAATTCTTCAAACAAACATAAAAAGAGACCCGAGGTATGCCCTGTTACACCTTAAACCTCCAAACCTCACGATCTCTCAATATAAATTAGCAGTCTTTATGTTCCTAGCTGCAAAACAAACAATAGCACAGGTGTGGAGGAAGCAGCAGATTCCCTTTGATGGGGTTAGCAGACGGCTTGACTCATTCTTCATTAACGAAAAACTGTCCAGTATCCTGATGGACACTCAAAAGAAATTCCGGAAGGTCTGGGACCCCTGGTGGGCACATGCGCACCCAACCATTCCCCTCACGAGTCTTGCGTCACTCTAAAACGGACACCCTGACCTGGAGGCTCTGCTCCGCTGCCACAGATCCCTTTCCCCCTTCCCACCCAGCCCCTCTACTTCTTTCGATCTTCCTTCTTTCCTTTTATCTCTATTTCTAAGATAGGGTACTCTGGCCCTTTCAACAAGCATCTCAGGACGCTAAAGTTTATACGGCTTGATCTCTATGTTAACAGTTGAAACATAACAACAGAACTGCGAATGTAATCAAGAAGGTGACTGTTACTAGCGTCTTAGAATTATCATTATATCTGTACCATGTATGTTTTATGTTTATGTTGGAAAATAAAAAATTATTGCAAACAAAAAACAATACATTCATCTATTTTATAATACAGCTGTTGATTGTCACAGATCATCCTATATGTGAATTTAAATCACCACTTCTGCCTATAAAAAAATATTTCTCCAGGGCTAGGTCGCTATTATTATTGAGACTCCATGGTAAACAAATATATTTTGATGGGCTTCTCGTGGACCAGGGCCCATTCACACCAGTGCGGTGCGTTATTTGCACAGTTCCGTGCAATTAACGCAAGCTAATGTGCGTTAGTGTAGGAGGTGTGGGCCCTTATTTTTATGCTTCCAGCAGGCTTAATACTTCATTGGATAACATTTAACAAATGTGACGGAGCGTGTCTCCTTCATAACATAATAATAAGTCTGCTTCAACACATTTCCATGCCAAAAGCCTCAAGATATGCAGGCCAGTTCATCACATCCACCTGCTGTCACATATTAATTTCCTGGAGACATATTCAAACATCTCATAGTTGTGCTCCTTCTCAGTAGTCATGGGTGCAAGCAACAGCACAGCGAAGAGTTAAGCATGGCTATCACTGCCAATTCATGGGGAGCAACCAATCAGCTTCTATCTCTCATTTTCAAATCTCAACTAAGCAAACTGAAGAGAGATGCTGATTGGTTGCTATGGGCAACTGCTCCAGATTATGTCTGCTCCAGATTATGCAAATGCAATATTAAATTGATATTATAGTCAAAAGGATTGTAAGCTATTTCAAATGCTGATGAAATCACTTACAATGGATTCTGCTTCTTGATGTTTAAAAGTTTTAGTTTCCTGCAGAATCAGCTGGTCCCTGAGCACTGATGCTGATTTCCTGTTTGAGAGACTCCTTTCTCAAGCAGATTGCTGTGCAGTTACTTTTGTGTGTGTTTAGTGACCTGTGTGTGTCTCCACAAACTCAGACACATCAAATCAAGCTACTCTCCTGGCCCCCTCTCTTCCCTTCTCCATGCTAGTAGATGAACAGTTGCTGAAGTCTGCACTGTCCTTTGTGATCTTGTACTGGACGGGGAGTTCAGGGAAGCTGAGCTGAGAGACTTGGGAGCAGCTTTTCAGAAACATGATGATTGTAGGTGTTTGGGCAAAAATGTAAAGCAATGATTTATGTATAGTTGTTTGATCTGGATACATTATTGAGAAAAGTTTGAGTTCAATACTACTTTTAAAGGAGAACTATGGAGTCACTGCTTTTCCCCATAGTTCTCCTAAGGGTCACAGGAGGACATAAACTAGCGTCCTCCCGTCACCCAAAGCTCAGTATATAGCAAGCTACAGCTCGCGGTATACTGAGACCGCCGCAGCCGGGACAGATCCCGACATTACTGTCGAGATCCACCCAGCTGCGTGATTGACAGCTGGCTCTACCTATCTAGAGGCAGAGCCAGCTGTACCCGCCCTCTCCCCTGTCCCGCCAGTCAGCGCTGGAGGATCGGAGCGGGGAAGGGGGACGAATCCCTGCAGGGAGCCGTGAGTGACAGTCACGGCTCTCTGCAGGGACAAGATCGAGAAGTGAGCGAGGGACGGTATGTGTTCACTCCCCGATCTATTGAGCCGACGTGTGACAGTTTCATTGTCACACGCCGGCTTGGACTATGAGGTTGAGTGAAAATCACTCACCTCATAGTTCTCTTCCTTTAAGATAACAAACACTGTGTGGCCTTAATGGCAGTGGATTTTGGGCAGATTAGATTCCATAGTGATCCAAAGACATGCTGGAAGGTTAATTGGCTCCTCTCTAAGTTGGCCCTCTATGTATGTAAGTGAGATAGGGACCTTAGATTGTAAGCTCCTTGAGGGCAGGGACTGATGTGAATGTGCAACTATGCAAAGTGCTACGTAAATTGTCGGCGCTATATAAATTCTTACAATAAATAAATGTAATCTTGAAGTATGGGAAGCCCTCATGGTAATGTGGTCCAGACCTCTGTGGTGCTTTTAGAGTGACAACATTAGCATTTTTAATGTGATGGTATTTGTCTGCTCAAAAAAGTTGCTGTTAAATTTTGGTACAATAAAGAATGTATTTTTTATATACCTCTCTGGCCCAATCTGTAACTGCTTTATAACCACATCTATGGCTGTTCGTTTTTTTGTGAGTACTGTAGGGCTTATGGGCTACTTTTTATGAGCAGGTTTGTTTTGATTTTAAAAATTGTTTGAGACTCCCAGGATTTTTTTTGTTTTAAATGTGCATATTTCCACTTAGTCGGTGGCCAGTGCCAGGGAACACATTTCCAGGACCTTGGGCCAGTACTTTCCCCAATATGTTAAGCTACCAGAATTGGCTTATTGACTTATAGATTCTTTCTTTTAGGTTTATTTTAGGTAAACAACTTGCACTAAAATAACTGCTTATGTTTTATTTTTTATACAGGATGAGGTAGTGGTGAAGGAAATCGCCATTACTCACCATGTCAAAGAAGGCTCTGAAAAGGCAGATCAGTCACACTTTGTCCTCTTGAAAGTACTTGGACAAGGATCCTTTGGAAAGGTAAGAGTAGACAAATACAATATGCTGCTACTGGAATTATTTTAATAAATGCACAGTAAATCTACCCTGGGCCCACCAAGACCAGAGAGCCAATTCAGACATACTAGAATGTAAACTGCTCAAAACAAAAACAACCTTTTCATTTAACACACTGGCTACAAAAACCGTGTGTTGTATACCCACTGTTCGATTTTGGTGTCCTAAAGTAAGGCCCCAAACTCATCCTAAATGGTGCTTATGAAATTGTATTTTCATTAATAAATAGGGAAGCATATTGTTAAAACTTTATTACTTGATGAGGTGACTTGAATGACAGCACCAATTATGCCAATTATGATATCTGCTCATACTTACAGTGCAGCAACATTACGATCTAAGGCTGTAGGCGTTTTTTATATAGTGATGTGTGGGTACCACTTTTTTTTTTTTTTTATAGCACAACGAAACTTGGTAGATTCAAATATGCCGTAATTTATATACAGCCAATATCTTATTAGCACTTCCTCGCAAAAGATATTCCCGGTACTGTTGGCATATGTATTAGCTAACCAACCAATTAAATGCAAAATGTATACGTTTTATTTTCATTGGTTAACTTCTAAAAAGGTTAGGTCAATAAACCATTTATTTTGCTCAGGCAAAATTGGTTCAGCAACAGTATGTAAACCCTAAATCTATTTTTCAGTATGTTTGACATCATCCCTGAATGTAAACAGTTTTCTTAAGAAAATAGTTTTTTTCTTTCTCGTTCATCGAGGGCCACCAAATTCAGTGACAATTGGGTTATACTGCTGCCTACAGAAGGCTTTGGACACTGTCAAAAGAAAAAACAGTGACCAACCCAGTATAAGCACTCCCAGGTCCGGCATGACACCGCTCTTTTACTAGTGTCCTAGGAGGATGGGCATCTCTTCCCTTTCTTTTTTTAACGAGAAAAGCTTAACTTTATTTTTTTGCTATTTTATTCCTGCATTCAAGTTTTTTTGTTAAATCAAGATTCTTCTACAAGCTGCTTAACTAGTTTATATGCATATCTATCCGGATCAGTGTATCCTCAGCATTAGCGTTGGAGGCCATACCCTGATCCTGCGGAACTGGATGATAGTGGTAAGTCGATGGAGAGACCCTCCGCACTCCTCACAGCAGTCCCGGCCAGATAAGAAAAGGTGGTGCTCGCAGTGATGAATTACCACGGATGGCCACGTGCAAACACAGGAAGATCAGGAAATCACCAGCACTCAGTAATAAAGATAAATATGTCCCTTTTTATTGGACAAGAAGCGTCACAGACATCCAAATAAACCAACGTTTCGGTGCCGCGCAGGGTCCCTTCCTCAAGGCAGAAAGATGTGACAATATAGTAACCATCAAACACCACACATATACCCATGTAGTTAATTAATGATTGAAAAACACACCCCCAGTGATGTCATAGCGGTGGCAAAAAAGACATATTTAAAGATCAGAGGAGTAAAGCTATGGTTATTGAACATGTGCCGAGACCCTATAGAGGTGGGAATAATTTATTATTACTTAGGGAAGCATTTTGGATCCATACGCTCAATACGGTTAAGCCAAGGGGACTCAATACCACTCTATCGTTATCTTGTTATCTGATAGATTAACCATGTTATAAGCATCAATTTCTATATATAGCCTTTTTTGTTTTTTTCATTTCTGGACTGTATGCAACAGTCGTACACTGATAGGAATAGCCCCATTTTTATCTATTGACATTATATCAAAGCAATTTTGTACCTTTTATACTACATAATATCTATTTTA